CTGGACTTGGGGAACGAACCCGGTACCTTTGGATTAGAAATCCAACGCGCTATAGGGACACTTAATTAATTATACTTGTCATAATACATTAATATTAGGCCTATTACATTTTTAAACACTGCGTTCTTTATCTAGCTCCTTAGGGTTTTTAAAGAAATTGAAGACTGTATAATGATAGTATTCTAACCACCCTATGTTTTCTTTCAAGGAGAGGGGTGTATATAATTGTATTCATGGATATGACGAATATAGGGTGTTTGGAATACTATTATTATATAGTATTCTAGTTCTTGAAAAACCCTAAATGACCGAATAAAGAATGTAGTATTAAAAAACAGGTAATAGGCCTAACACTAATGTATTGTGACAAGTATAATTATTATAAACATGCTTCGCCAGCTTAGAAAAGGCGTTAACATCAATGAATGTTATTGTTGTAATGGTTTCTATTGTTGTACTGTTTTTTTTTAAAGGTATTTAGTTAATGATAATTGAAAGACAAAGTACACTTAACGACAGTACAATTGTTATATTTATTAAAGTTCCAGGTTTAGCGTAACCAACGTTCACCGATAGGGCTAGCTTCACAAATGGACTACAGAAATTCCATATATATATATATAATGCTTACTAATTTCCAAGTATCTCTGTTCTTTGTCGAAACACGAAACACTGAACTATGTAACTGAATAACTGCTTGACTATAACATACAGACTTATTGAATAATGCACAAATTACGATTTAACTTAACATATTCGCCTAATTCATAAATCCACCTCAACTCGTATTAAAGCCACACCCATCACGTTACGTCAATTTTGTTTTTCTCCCGGCTATACAAAAAATATAACTTTCTAGAAACGTCTTGATCAGCTTTGAGATACCAGAGACCGGATTGCTGCCATTCCAAACTGTCACGAACAACTGAAATGCAAGTACAACAGAAACCTTTACAACTTATATATGGATATTCTGCCAACTTTTGTTTTCCTGAAATCCCACGGCCTGGCAAGGTGGTTTTTTTAGGGACAAGTGGTCTAGATTAAAACCATAAGGTATAATATATATATATATATTAATCAAATTCAGTGTATTAGATATTTATTTAAAAAACAAAATGGTAATTTGTGACGTAATTATTTTTTTCTTCCTATTACCTAAGCCATGTAAACTTATCTGTTACTATCAGCAAAACATCCAAATACTAGCAAACCCGTGGACCACATTGAAGGGACGCTATAATGCAAATTTAATTTCCGTAACCAAGTTACGAAAGGTAATATTAGTAGACTTACTTATTTACGTGCTCTAATGGAAATCAATGCTAAATTTGGGGTCTGCTTTCCAGGAATCCTCGTAAAAGTGTTTTTGCGAAATACCCGGGTTCTCTAAGAGATGGATTCAAAAGTTTTACCTTTCTATAAAACGATTCGTTTGGTACCAATTAGAAGTTGTTCCGGTTTAGGAGGAGTTATATGGCACAGACAGACAGACACTGAATCGTATTATAATGATTGGCTCACGTGAAGGCTAGAATGTAGATGGGATGTTATGTTGCCTCCATCGCGTTTCTTTGAAAGACCTGAAGTATAATTGGTCGAAACTTGGAGTAAAGAATACAATATGGTATACTCCTGGCTTTAGATGGCTTCCGTTAGTGTAGAAAAAGTAACAGAGAAACACTGTGACAGAAAAGCAAGCCAATTATTGCTATCACCAGATACCATCACACAAAGGCTTATAGCAAATATTGAGATAAACATTTTATTAGCCGTGAATTACGTGTAACCAAGTAACTGTTAAACAGCAAGATAAAATGGTCGTTAAGGAGACAAGGTTTTGTCGTGATTTGACGACTGTCGACTCGAAAGTGTTTTATAATAACTGGTAAAGTTTTTAATAAAATCGAAAGGTCACATCGACTTCTTTCAGAAAACTTAGCAACAGACTGTGTTGCATAAAGTTTTCTTTTTAAACAAGGGTTCCTAATCCACGACATACCTGAATAGCCAAGTCATTTTCCGCGACCTATGGTCAGTTTCACAATCATCATCATCTATCCGTATTGGGATTTAAGTATATTTTGACCTGGGAAGGTCAGGTACAGTGATGGCCTCTTCCTACTTTCTTGGCTGTTGATTTATTTTTTTTATTTTGGTTCATTCAAAAAAATGCTAGTTTTTATCACTACATGAGGATCAGTGTTTGTACCCAGCTGCCCGATTACATAATCTGACCCCTTTGCAAGATCAAATCCATCTATGTTATAATGTTAGTATTTACTATATTGTTGGAGTTTTGGTTTGTTTATTGAATTTCGTGCAAAGTTACACAAGGGCTATCTGCGCTAGCCGTCCCTAATTTTGAAATGATAGACTAGAGCAGAGGTCACCAAACTTTTTTCACAGCGGGCAACATAATTGATAGAATGACGAGCGCGGGCGGGCCGCATAACCATTTTGTTCAATACAATACAGTGAATACACAAAAAATAAAGACAACAAACATGTTTATTTTCCAAAAAAAAACCTTTACTTAAAATACAATAGAAGTAAGTACTGTCACTACCTTATATTTGCACAACAAACACGTCCAGAT